CAATAATCTCTCTCGTGCGAGATATATTCCAAAAAAATCATTTGTCGCATCTTGAATCAGTGTTCGCTCCGAACGTTTCGAAACGGACGTACGCGCGGGCAGATAATTCCGCTCGTCGCGTCCACGGTTGATATTCCCGTTTGCCCCGAGAGGAACGTTTATCGGCGCAGTAAACCTCTAATTCCCGTTTCCATCGGTTTGTCCTAAAAAATACCGGGCTCGCACCCATAAAGATCCGCGAGCCAGTAATGACCGAGGCGACCGGCGCTCTCGATCTCTTTCGCATCGTTTTACGGATCCGTTGAGCGTCGAGCCGCGGCCATCGAGCCGCGCGGTCTCGATTTACGAGCGTCGAGCCGGCCGAGGGAAATTTACGGGGCGTCGCGTCCGAAGAAAGTGAAGAAATCAAAGCACGCGACGTGTCCTTACAGTCTTTCATTTCTATTTCGCTACGCGAGAGCTTCGTCTTATTGCATCCGCGCGATTCTGAAAGTGTCGCACGTCTGCTCTGAACAATTTCGGAGCCTTTTCAACGCGACACCTCGCTCACACAATCGTGCACACGCTCGTGTCGTTAAGGATCCGCACTGACGAATTTTCTGAACCGGCAGCTCTTGTACAATAACGTGGAGGGTTGCCGTATCGGCAAACTGGAGCTAAACTCTTGCCCAATGAAAGAGGATGTTCGTGATTTTTCAGTCGAAGATTTTTGGAGCTAAGCCTTTGTAGCTCCTGTTATTTTTTTTTATTTATTTTATGGTAAAGATTGTATCAAGTAACTATTACTTAGATAGGTAATGATTGTGCTACAAAAGGACTTAATGGCTTGTTGAAGTCTGTAAAATACAAGAGAACATAAGCTCTCTCCATAAGGTTTCTTCTTTTCAGTAAAAGAAATTTCTAGCTTGCTATATTCTTTATGAAACAATATTCACAGATGGGAATTTTCATGAAGATCTGTCTGTTAACTCTGCAAACGAGGATCTTCTGAAACCGCCAAAAATGTCTTCATGTTCTCGAGGGGTTAATAATGTTAGAAATTGTAGATAATTGTAAGAAATTATGATTCTAAAAATTCTCCAACTTCTGAGCTCGAAAAATCAATTTAACGTGCTGCAATGATTATATTAATAATAATAACAATAATAATAACTTTATCGATCGACAGGATAATCTTTCATTTCAGTGAGGGTATAATAACGTAGCAGTCACACTCGAGGACGGGAAAAATGCAATAACATAAAACTAAAAACATAAAACAGAAAAAGAAAAATATTTTGATTACACATTATGTGAGCAGGGATAAAGACAAACGGCGAATAGCTGCGGAAAACTTGAAGAAAGTAAAGAAATTACAAAAGAAGTTTAATTGATCACAACATCGGTTTGAGATACTAAATAAACGGGTTAGGCTATTGAAAAATCCATAATGCTTTCTATGTGATTCAGGCAAAAAAAAGAAAATATTATAGAGAGTAATAGTAGTAGTATAGCAGCATTAAGAGTAATATTATGTTACCGTCAACGGTGTGCCACAACTTGAATTAATGAGATCCACAGCATCCGCAAGTTACAAGGTCTCGTGTTCGTAAGTTTCCATGGTCTTTCCTATAGATTTTCCCGTGGATGTCGCGTTTATTACACGGCTCGTTGCCGAGGAATCCTCCGTCGATTTACATCGCGCCACATTGCCGAACAATCGCGCGACGTTCCAGCGATTATGGAATTGACAAATTGCGCCCTAATTACCTGCGGATAGAGCGTGGTTCGGAGGCCCGGCTCGAAAACCAGCGGAAAATAGTTTCCTCGTAATTTTCGGCGATCGGTAGAGCGTATCGGTTCCGGTGTCGCGTCGGCGCGAAAGCGAGACGATCCGATCCTCGTCTCGAGTCTGGACCGCTCTCGGATGGCGAATTAATGAACGGAATTGACGTCAGCGTGGCACGAGCGTCAACGCGTTCCTCGATATTCCGGTAAAAATAAGCGACGTTATTTCGGCCGACGATTGGTGGGCAGGTCGCGGCCGGAAGAGCGATCCGGGTTGCCGGTGGAAGGGACAAAAGACTGCAGAGCCAACCTGGAATCGAGTTCCAGTTCGATTCGAGCCTTGCTCTCCTCCTCCTGCGTGAATTTTCGGGCTGAATACGCCAGCCTGCGAGGCAGGCAACTCGTTTCCCAAAAGTTCGATGGCTATCCGGATACCATTTATCCCAGAAATGTTAATAATCCGTTTAATTAGGTATGCTCGTGTTAGATATTTTCGAGAAAGTTTGCGGCGATTCTTGTTTGCGAGATACGCACTAGTTGTTACGCACTGTTTTTAGTCTGATATTGTTCTAGACGAAGTTGGGAAATAGCTTAATGCAGTAGTAGTTCAGTCATTTATACGTTGTTTTGATCGTTTTCAATATTTTTGGGGCATTATTTTTCGCCTCTTGTTTTGCAGGTTTACACTGGATCGTTTGTAATTTGATACTGTTCATGAAGAATTTGAGAAGAGTAATTTATGTAGTGATAGCTCTTTCAGTCGTAGATTATTTTTCTTGTATTCATCGTTCTAGAAAAATAATTTGTCGCCTCTTCTTTTTTATATTGGCACCGAATCGTTTGCAGTTTTATGTTGTCCTTGACGAAGATGAAAAATGATATAGTTTACATAGTGCAATATTTTAGAGAAATTATTCATTGCCTCACGTCTTCAAGATTAGCATAGAATTGTTCTTATTCTGAAGTATATGTATATTATTTAAAGAACTGAGGAATAAATATAATTCATTTGATGGTAGCGATTTAATTCGTCATTGAAATAATGCAGAAGAAATGATTGAAAATACAGTAGCATTTCTAGAGAACGATAGAAGATACGAAGTAGACGAATAAGAAATAATATATAAAATAAAAGTAAATGGTTTGCAGAAGCCATTAGTTCACAAAATATTGAAAAGAGATGTTGCATGTCACTTTCATAAATTGCGTTGTCTGCGAAAAATTAAGGAAAAGATGAACTTGTTTTTAACAAAGGTAAAATCAGAAATAAAATATGTGCTCGCGCGAAGATGCACTGAAAGAGATATTTTCTTCAGTAAACAGGGCTGATATTCGAGGAAAATAGTCCCTAAAAATACGCGTGCAACATATAGTTTGATCACTACTGACCCGTTCTACTTACTGCAATGACTAGACTGCAGATGTGCATTGAAAGCCGCAAATTCCGAGAGCAATCCAGAAAAAGTAATCTCGATGGAACGATTTCGAAATGAAATCGACAAAACAGCAGCGAAGTCGTTTATTTTTGATTTGCATGTTAATAAATGCAAGGGGCGGCGCATATGAAATTCCTTCATCAATTTCCTAATTACCGGCGCGTAACAAAATCGATCGTTCACGCTCGCATCAATTTCTGTCTCTTACAACGAGTTACATTCGACAGAAATGAATTCGACGTGCTCGGTGTACATTACAATCGTGTTACAAACAAGCTTTCTCCCTTAATTGGACGTCACCTTCGTTCCAATTTAAATCACAAGGGCTAATGATTCCGCTAAGCATCACGCGTGTTCGCCAGCTAGAAATCGATTTTCCGGTGAACCGAGCCACGGCCGTCGAAAAATGTTACCCTGCGCCTTCAATTTATTTTCGTACAAGGTATCGCTGCCTTGCTGCCTCCCCCATTACCATACTAGGGATCCTCATGCATTTATAGCGTGCACCGCCGCATAAATTCGATCAAAATACAAATTTTAATCGAGCGGACAAGTTCCGCGCTTTTTCCCCGCTAAACACTCGACTATCAGATGGACAAATTAATTCACGGACCAACACGCAATCTCACGTTGCTAGGTCCCATGAAAACAGACGAAGAACAGTTATCGGAAATAAAAGTTGTAACTATTGGTACACAAATGTACAAAGTCCACTGAATGGTACTACGATTATAAAGAATTGCAACAATTACAGTCAAATTGCTATTCTGAATACGTCGTTTGCCCACGGACCCTTTCTTAAGGAACGTTCCAAAATCGCCCGCCCTCGCAGTACTATCATTGTCCTAATTCTAAAGTATTTGTCCCTTGAAAATGCTGCCGAAAGAAGTTCTTACGAAAACGTTTCCCTTTATTGAAAATTCCGTAGAAGCAGCTACTTTCCTTCAAATAAAACACATGGGTTTAAGCAGGATATTTCTGAGAAACAGAGGGTGACTATTTTGTTCACGATTTGTTTCGGCTTGCTGCGTTACGAAGCAGTGTAGCGGGATAGGATAGTGTTCAGGATCTGGGAATTCGGTACGAGTGGAAAAGAAGACTGGTGATAGGGGCGGAGGAGAGGGAAAAGGGAGAGAGAGAGAGAGAAAGAGAGAGGGACTAGTCGAGAGAGGGGACACGAAGGGAGAGAGAGGGAATGCCGGGGGTGGACGAAAGGGATGGTCGAGGAGAGGGGACTCGGTCGGAGGGCAAAAGGGGTGGGAGGATGCAAGGTGCAATCAATAGCGAGATTGCCCTCGCTCGGTAGCTACTCAACGCCAATAGAGGAACGTTATAGAGACGAGCGTGTAGAGCTGTCACGATTGCAGATCCGCCAGTTCGGGCCGGACCGGGCCGGGCCGATTTCTGGCTTTAACACCGCCGACCAGACCGAATCCATCCATACGCCCGTTACAACCCTCTTTGCGACGAGACGAAACGAAATTCCATGGTCCGGCTGCACGCTGCTTCTCTTTAGCTTTCTGGTTTGGTGTCTCCGAGTCTATTAGAATTTCTGTAATTTTGAGGAAACTAATCGTACGGCAGTCTATCTGCACTAATTTTAAAGGCTACACAGTCTGTATTTTAATACCCCTAAATTGAATTTTTACGAATGTCTTCGGTTAAGTATTAGGTGAAGGACGAATCATAACTACCAAGGTTCAGACATCTGTTCGAAAATTCGGGTTGGGTTCCTTTGCATCTACGAATTACTGTAACTTTGACAAAAATAATCATATGGTAATCTTGCTACGCTGATTCTAGAGAGTAAGGTTTTTATTTTTTTATCTTTTTTACTTTAACACCCACAAATTAAATTTGTACGTAGGTCTTTCGATATGAAAAGACAGAGATTTAGGTAGTTTGTTCTAACAAGTATTGCAAATTCGAATAATTCTGGGTCTGACCAATATTTTTCGGAGTTCATTTGAAAGTGGTTTTGAAGAGTGAAGTTTCCCCTTTAGGACAACCATAAATAGACTGCTGTACAATCTTTTTTCTGTTACGTTACAGCTATTCGAAGACTAACTATTGTTAATTTCGGTGAAATGTAGCGATCATTTCGTAGCTTGAGAAATTAATCACAAACAATGCTTTGAACCTACGAATTTTGAACTTACGAATGCCTGAAGGTCTTCCGGCGTCGGAGACTAGCCTGTAGCACCACGTTGGTGTCGCATTTACGGCTTAACGACAAATGCCGGCGGCAGCTTCGAAGTTACAAACCTCGAAGCGTTCACAAAATTTCAGTTTCTGATCTTAGGAGTATGGGTATCCGAAAAATTATCGCAGGAAATTCAAAACAGCACAGAGGAGGGAAATAATAGATGATGCCACGTAGAATATATAGAAAAATGTCCAAGTCGTCTACAAGCCATAACGCTTTCCTGAGCAATTTCTTTATCCAGAAACGATATCTGGCTGCCACTCGGTCAGTTTTTCGCGTGTATTTCACGCGCGACCGTCTCCGCGTACTCGCCAGTCGTAATCCGCGTTTAGAACTCGACACGTTCCAGTGGATTTTCTTGTGCTCGGCCGCTTGCTTCCGCTTTTATCGAGCCATCTTTGCCAGCCGAGCTCTCCCGAGCTCGCAGGCCCGAAAGTGAAATTACGGTTTATCGGATATAGACCAATACGCTCTGCTTCCCGAGATCGGCGGGGGTTAAACGAATCGATCATTCTTACGACGCCCTTTGCCCCTTTCCTCGTTCCCCGAATCGTACCTTCTCCTTCCAAAGCGGTCTAACAAGGAACGCGTATTCCTTTTCACCGAGCTGAAGTGAAATTTCAGGGCTGGAAACCATCCTACGAGAATTGCTGCAACCTCCGGCTATCTCTGGAAATTGAGGACCACAGGTTTTTGAAAAATCAGCCTCGACCATCAAACTGTAGATTTTTTAGTAGCAGAAACATTTGCCTTATTAGAAACATTTTGAATTGTATAAAACAGAAGTTCCAGAAAGGTGGAATTGGCCTCTTGTTAATTTCAGTGAGTGGAAAATAATTTATACACGAGTGTCTCGGAGTCGGAATTGAAAGTGTATTTCAATTCCGACTCCGAGACACGATTCTTCGTGCCTTGCGGATCGCTTTTATAGTTGCCGATATCTCGTGAGAGAGAGAGAGAGAGAGAGAGAGAGAGAGAGAGAGAGAGAGAGAGAACGAAATTACCTGGAAGGCATTACTAAAGCATAGTAATGCTGGAATAAAAACGATGACTTAACTTTTTTATTTCTAATTTTTTGCCACGATTTGAAGACAATTTGGAGGCCACATGCTACGATTCGAAGGCAATTCGGAGGCCACATGCCACGATTCGACGGTCACGTACCTAGTACCTTGTAGCTCCACGGTTTTGTTTACCTGACTCGCGCCCAAACAGACCATTTTGTATTGTCTTCCGGGAATTCGAGCCGCGGCGCGTGCCGCATCATACGCTTGCCTGACTCCGACGAACCTTCGTATAGGCATAGCGAGATAATCGATGAATCACTAGCAATAGCACCGTGATACTTATGGCACAGCAAAATTGTGACACTCGTGGATAAATTACTATATTCTGAAATTCTTTCAATGGCTTCACAGCTTTGTGTTTCACTTGTAGATTCTTGTAGTATTCGCCCATCTTTTATGTTTGATAGAACTGTAAAGTCTTTTTATATATACTCGTCTATGATTATGTCAGAATTTGATATTCCTTTAAAATTGTATTCACGTATTTGTTTCGCAGAGTATAAGAGTCGTAATTCAATAACTCATGCTATGTAAATATGCAAACAAAGATTACCAGAATATCGACTGTTTCGATGTATCGTTAACCATATTTGAAGATCAAACGTTACGAACAATTTATTAATTCGTTGTCTTTTCTCTCGACGATCAAATCCTGTAAACTAAACTGTGGCTACCTCCGATCTCACACGATGTAATTATACATTTCTGTATGCTCAAATGTGGGTAATACAATATACTAAATTATATATTAAATGAATAACAATAAACATTAAACGTTAAAATCACTTTCCGGCGATAAAATGAAACGAATAGCACAATGACAAAAGAACCAACAGAAAGATCAACAAATCTTGTAACTGTACAATTGCAAATGGCGCAAACCATAATCAATTGCACAGTCGCAAGATAAGATTCGCCGTTCAAGTGATAAAGTACAAAATCAGGAACGATTTGTAGCGTGGTAATTAAGGTATAACACGAAAATACGTAAAAGCCACGTGGCGACTTTTCGTGCAACTATTTTGGAGAACGGTATGGGGGTCAGCAAGACAAGGGCGTCAGGTGAAACGAGGCATGGCGACCGTGAACGTGCCTCGCGCGTTCAGTATCGTGATCGGAAGGTTTCGGAGGGGGTGCAACAAGCCAGGATTTCGATCGTGAAGCTAATTCGAGGGTTGCAGGGTTACAGGGTAAAAATTCAGCGCGGCGGACGGACCGAGGGTCGGCGAAGTGGGGTTGAAAGAGAATCGAACGTGGAACACGGTGGGACTAAAACCGTCTCCTCGGACTGGAAGAGAGAGTATCCAGGCTTAATCGGATTAGACGGTGCCGGCGGGGAAGGAGAGTATTTCTGGCGTGTAGCCCGAAGTGGCCGGAGTCTGCGACGCGGAAAATCTCCTCGGCGTAAAGTAGAATGTTAAAAATAAAGGCGCGTCGAATAGGCGAGAAAGTAGACGTTCGAAGGAGGAGCCGACGATCTTTTCTCGGGGGTGGTTTTCGATCCCCGGACCTGGATATAGGTCAGGACGGTTGTTTTCTTCAGAATTTTGCCGCGCCCACCCCCTTGGCCACCACCCGTCCCCGTTTCTGTTGCACTCCAGTCGAATTATAAGAAGCCAACCTGAAACGTTCGACGTCTGTCTATTTTAGCCGCGAATAGCAGCTGCCTCCCAGGCCTCCTGGGAGCTAACCCGGTCCTCAGAGTATCCTTACAGCCCTCGGGATCCTGGCTAATCAATTTATGTTTCTCTTGCCTCGCGGTTTCTATCTTTACCACCTGCCGCTTATTTTCGTTCCTGGTCCTCGACGTCTTTCACCTTTTCTTGGGAGACTACAATGGGAATTGCTATTATTACTGTTGCCAGTAATACCGTTAGATCGCTCTTATCTATCAAGCCTAGATTAAACTTAATTTACAGTTCATGTAATGTTCGCTATCAACACTGCAGGTATCTATTTTCTACCAGACTCACTGCTAAATCAAGCGCAGAGCAAGATTCGTAGCTAGTTAATGCTAAAAGAATTTTCAGTATCTAGTATGACGAGTGATAGATTTTGTATGGTGGTCCAAATTAGGCTACCATCCCCTAATATTATTTACCGGATACTATGAACGCATAAAGTCTGCAGTCGTCTGCAGAAAGTCTGCACCCGATGCTCTTCTTTTATCGTAATTTAACCCCTTGACATATAAATAAAACGGAATATGATGCGTCCGAAAAATACTATTTAATTTGGCTCAACCGAACAGTTATGTGCAAGCTGAGAAAAAGAAAATGCTTCTTTCTGATTTACTGATTTGTGGATGCAACGTTGTTATCGAATACTGTCGAGAAGGTGGGAGGGTGGGGCATCTTGAATATTGTAAACAAACCGTCGCACAAGTGAAGCAACTGAGTAATCTAATAATATACTCCATGGCGACCGCCGAAAACAGCTCTTGACGAGTTAGACTCGTCAAGGTTTACAGTGACACATGAAATGAACGACGACCCCAACTTGTTATTGTATGCCAAGGGATTAATAAAGGCATCAATAATAGTAACAAAAATTTTGTTTTACGTTAAGAGTATGGGATACAAAACGAAACATAAATGCAGAATATGAGCAGAGAATTTTGGCGATCTTCTGTTAGAATCACTTCGTCCAAAATCCAAAGTATAATCTCCAAAAATAATCTAAAATAATAGGAGACATCAAAAGCAAACGCAAAGAAAGTGCCAAAGCAAGTTTTCCTTTCCCATACACGATGAAAGATCTTTATTATCGAAAGACAATGGAACGACGGATTAAAAATCGATTTGGAGTAATTACGCGTCAAGCGGTTAACAAAGCGCGACGTGTCATCGACGAAGCTCTTTTTTATCCGGAGCATTTAGTTGACATGCTCGGGGATCGTTGCCGCGACGAATCACGACAAAAGACGAACGGCTCGGCGGTTTTGGAGAAGGGGACGGACGAAGGTTGGGCGCGGCGAGGGTGAACGTCGAGAGAACGTAATGAGAGAAAGGCGGAAAAGAGGGCTGAGTCATGGGAACGGGTGAAAATTCGAGGCTCGCTGCGGCGGACTGCCGGCCTGGCCTGTGTTTCGCTTAAGTTCCACAAAATCTTGACACGGAAAGGAGCTGTGCAGCACGATTCTCGAGCACTCGTAACGGTGAAGTGGAGGGTAGAATAATAGGTACTCGGGGGCCGACCACCAAGTGGCAGCTAAGCCTGATTTTACACGCGAACTCGACCGACGGTTTTTCGATGCGACGAGCCAACCTAACACGGTTAAATGTCGCAAACACGTACCTGACTGATGGACCTGCGCCCTGGTCCTCCCAAAGACATCGGCGCTACAATCGTCCCTGAGAAACCAGCAAACCATACCACAGAAAACAAAAAAATATATACGAGCTACAGTAATGTCTCCCTTACTGACGCTCGGATTGTCCACAAAAATGGACAATTTGGGAAGAGGAGATACGATTATCCGAGCCTTGCAGCTCGTTTTTGTAATTGTTGACAATTTATAACTATAAAAACGAGCCAAAAGGCTCGAATAATCGTATCCCCTCTTCCCAAATTGTCCATTTCTGTGGACAATCTGAGCGTGAATTAGGGAGACTTTACTGTATAATGTCGATGAAGCAACTGTAAAATCTATAAACATCGGCGAAACACTTACGATTTATGGAACGAGTGTAAATAGCGAATGCTAGTTGACGCAAAAAAGAAAAATTAAACAACAAAGCAGAAAAGTATACGGAACGAAATGTCCACGTAACACTTTCGATTCATAGAATGCGTCTAAATTGTAAATGCTAGTTAACGCAGGTAATGAAACGACAAAGTAGAACAGTGCGTAAACCGTACGTCGACTAAACAGCTAGGATTCGTAAAATCGATCATTCGAACTCGATCGAATGAAAAATGCATAATCAGGTCGAAAGATGACGAGATCGATAGGACCAGGTGCGTATAGTGGGATCGTTGTTCCTGAATTGGCAAACCGAATGGAATCGTAGGTAATCTCGTCCCGATACGCAGGGAAGTTGGATACCGCGGCGAAACGCGTGAAATATGGAGTACGCGACTCGACGCGAATGAATTCCTCGACGCGGCATTACAATTTCAAATGTACGGAAACCGCGGTTAAACGCGAGCACGCCGAGCGAGACTGACGAATATCCGCGGCACGGGGAGAAAGAAACGGCTTCGACGGAAACGGAACGGTTCGCATTATCTCCGAGGGAAGCTTAAGCGGCCTGATAAACGGCAGGAATTTAATCGTTGCCGGATCGGGTCGTCGGCGATCCTCTTCCGTCCAATTTCGCCGGCGACAGTGTTGATTTTTCACCTAACGCAATTCCGAAATCACGATTTTCGTATTATCGCCGGGAAACGCTGCCCCGTCGATTGTGAACATCTTATTCGTTTATCTTCCGAATTAGGTCTGGAGGGAACAGTTGTATTGATCTTAATTTGCGCGGCACTCGGCTCTCTGTCGTTATTAGACTACGGATTTTCATGAATTTATGACTACAACTAATGGGTCGAATACGAATCTGCGGAGGCGTTCGAAGAACTTAACGGTACTGTTCTATTATTTTCAACTTATTACTGTTATCGAAAGAGATAGGCCAGTTCTAACTAATCTACGTTTCTGCAATTAACTTGGACAATTTTTATTTCGTGTAAAAATCTGCGATCCAATCATTATAAACACAGCGCAGGATTATGACGACATTAGAGGAATTTAAGGATATTGTTCTATGACTTTCGATTCATTACAATAATTGAACGAGGAAAGACATTTTGATCTAACTCACGTTTCTTACAATTAACTTGGGCAATTTTGATTTCGCATAAATATTTGCAATCTAATCATCATAAACACGGCACAACATTGCGAACATGTAAGAGTTTTCTGGTTCATTTCATTATCGAAAATTGATCAGTTTTCATTTCTTAGATGCTATGAAATGCATGATTTTATTCCGTTTCTGTTGTGAGGTGTATTTCCTTGAAATGCGACATCATAAATGAGACATAATTGGCTGATTAAAACTGTAAAGCGAAGGTGGTTGTAGCATTGTTCCAGGGCCTTTTATGCAATTATTTTCGAGCAATATCTGTGGGTTCGCAAAATGGTGTCTCATTGTATCGGACTTTTTAACCCTTTGCACTCGAGTGGCGTCTCCGAGGCGCTATTGCAAATTGTTACCTCACGTCTCAACATAATTTTATTAATCAAATTTTTTGTACATTTAAAGAGCTGTTGAAAAGGTAACCGTTGCACGGGCCACAATATTCAATTTCATATGCATAAAATGCACTGGGTCATATAAAATGGAAAAACCGTGGATCGGAAAAATTGCTTTAAATCTTGCGTTGATACGGCTTCGAGTGCAAAAGGTTAATATCTTTCGTTTACCGCCTCCAGTATATGGTAGTAGAATACTTACTAACAGCACAAGGTATCCAAATGAAGAAACACTTTCGCGGTCTTAAATAATCCGAGGAAAGGAGCGACGCAACGACCAGTTTAAACTGCATCGCAAACGTAATCTTCGAGGATCTTAAACGAAACAACGGATTGGTGCGACGACACATGGAAGTTATAATGGAAACAAACGATGTTGACGCAAGTTCTGGAACAGTTTGCGGCGCGAAGGGTCGAGTAACAAAATACTTAATTAGCTTGATAGCGGCGCGTGGCATTTACGCGTGCGCTCGGTTTCGAAAGGGAAACTAGGAGAGGCGGCAGCGCGTTAACTCTCCTCGAGCCTCTCTCTCCCCCCCCTCCTCTCTCTCTCTCTCTCTCTCTTACTCATTCACTTACTCACTTACTCACTCTCTCTTTCGTCCTGTTTTGCACGTAGCATCCAACCCTCGAGAAGAAAAGAGTGTCTGTTCGCACAGGGTAAGGTCGTCGGTTTCCGTGTCGATCGATCGAGACATCGTTAACGAAACGATCACGGACGGAAACGCGCCTCGCCGTGAAAAGAATTCCCCGCGTTTCCATAGAAACGCTTTCGAACGGGTACCGGCTGGCGCTGTACCACCGGCGAACTTTACACCGACACGGGGACGAACCTTTTCTTCGGGTCTTCGCGTCGTTAAGCACCTGCGTTGTGTCGCGGAACAGTCGTGTCGTGTCTCGTCTCGTCTCGTACCGTCGCGTCTCGTCGTTAGAAAGCGTCTATCCCCAAAGGCTGAGCGGATAGTTCCGTGGAATCGTGCCAATCGTGAATCAAGGCTCCGGAAACGAAGGAAAAAAGGCATCTCTCGATCTCTTTTTCCCTTCCCTTTTTCTCTCATCTCTCTCTCTCTCTCTCTCTCTCTCTCTCTCTTTCTCTTTCCCTCGGGTTCTTTTTCTCTGCGTGTTACCGAGTTCGATAACACCGCCACCGAGATTCACGTTTCGTTGCGAACGATTTGTGGGACAAGCTCTAACAGACGAGAAAAGTGTCACGTCGATAACGAGGGATCGGCTCGCATCAAATCAATCATAACATCGATGTATTTTCAGAGAATTTTTCGTAAGGTCTCTACCTTACGTATGGTATTTTTGATTTATTGGCGACGTTTTGGTAACGGTCGCATAGATTTCGTTTCTTCGATTGGCTGACGGATTTAGTCTGAAGATGCGTGGGGTTCTTCGAGATTATTTGGATGATAAGATAAGAATCTAGGGACTAGAAAATGGACTAGGGAGGATTTGGGGAAGGTGGAACATGTGGAGAAGAGTTTAGAGATGAGTGCAAGGGTGAAGGAGGAAAGGAGAGACGAAGGGAAATGATCTAGGATAGAACAGAAGAGAGAATGGATCTAGAAAGAAATCTATGGAAGGATCGAAGAAGAGAAAGGGTCTAGAGAAGGATCGGAGAAGAGAATGGATCTAGAGAAGTGCCTACAGGAGGATCGAGGAAGAGAAAGGGTTTACATAAGAAGGATGGTGGGCGAAGGATCTGGAGAGAGTCGATAAGGTAGTCAACTTCGAACCTCGAAAGTTCATCAAGACCTCCCTTTAATACCGGTCTTTATCATCGAGTGCATTACTCTTCTCTTCGCGAAACTCGTTCGATCTCCAATTGTTTTAGCCGATGTAATACCATTAGAACTCCCGAGATGGATCATTAGCGAGGGGTACTCCGAGTCACTGACCAGATTGCTCCCAGAAATAGAAACCATTACTATAGGAACCTGCAGGAAAAACGAAAAACATCTGACACCCACATGTCTCGGCTACGGATACCCTGATGAATTCTCTATCAGACCAAAAACGAACTTTTTTCTTCGATTATGCATGTAACTTTCATATCCATGAAACATCTTGAGAATTGATCTCTTCGCATCTCGAGTCCACCACAATCGCTGTTATCCTTTCTGAGGCCATAAGAGAGAATTAGCAAAAAGAATTGAAGGCTAGGGTGAAATTTACGAAAAAATTATTTATTGAATTATCCACAGTTTGAGGATATTATTGCCCTTGTATTATCCCGATTGTAGGAGATGGGTCTATGAGAATTTTTTAAATAAACTTCTTCACTGAAGCATATATTCTAATGGTATAATAATTATATGAACATCTTATCGCTGCTATCAAATACTATACAGTTGCCCACAAAAGTGTTCGTACACCTTCTAAAACGTAATAACTTTTTTAAAACTCAACTAAATGACCTGAATTTCTTTTTTAAATGATAGAGGCACAAGTCTACTAGACGATGACTAAAATGCCTTTTTTAAATTTTGCTACGGGAGGTATTTTGTAAAACTTTCGTTATAGGCTCAGATAAAAAAAGTTAAGAAACGAGAGTCTTTTATCCTTTTTTGTCATTTGAAGTAATAGCAAAATTTAAAAATAACATTTTGGTCATCGTCTGGTGGACTAGTCCTACCATCTAAAAAAAATTCAAGTTACTTAGCCTAGTCTTAAAAAAGTTATCGCCTTTTAAAATGTGTACGAACTCTTTTATGGGAAACTGTGCATCAGTAGAGTCTTGGGTTCGGTAGAACCAGCGTTAAACAAAAACGACATGACTTACAGGTGTCCCTAACAGTTCGCGTTTTATTTACAAATTCCTGGTACTTCTCTTACATAACGTAAATCACGGAGAAGATTGCCGCGGATGCGAAACTAGACTAGCGTGGCCAGTCCTGTCGTCGAATCCGTACTTTCGTGTCGAATCGAAGGAGCCTAACCGAAGGATGCTTGAGCGTCTACGATATTGATCCGTATTCCATCCACATGGAACGGGTCCTCCTCCGCCGTTCCTCTTCGATCCCCTTTCCCGTCTCTTTTCCGCCCGTTTCTCCGGAGTTTCGCGTTCGTCTTTCGGCTCCGAGATTTCGCCTCTCTCTCTTTCTCTCTCTCTCTCTCTCTCTCTCTCTCATTCTGTCCCTTTCTCGCTGCGTGTCTCCCCGTTCTCTCCACTCTCTATCTCTTTTCCAACCCTCTGTGTCGGTTCGTACACAGCTTTGAAGAGTCTCCTCGAAGCGAACGAGAAGTCATCGTCCCGCGAATTCTTCTCTGTTCTCCGAGGAGAGGACTCCTTGTCCAAAGAAACGATTCTTCCGTCAGAGGCGGGGACGGATCGGCCGAACGGAGAGAAGAAAGGAGATCGAACGGGATCGATCGGCGCGAATTGAAATCGGAACACGTCGTTCCTCGCGGACCAGTAGTTGGATACTTCTCGGACCTCGGGAAATTGGTCACCGTGCAGTTTCAGCTGTTCGGGCATCCAAAACAGCGGAGAACCCTATCAAAACGTCCCACTAATCGAAAAGCTCTTTACCAGTGGTGGAGTGAACGTTCGGCGCGTTAATTTGGCGCGATTTTGTCCGGATTCGTTAATCATTAACGGGATTATACGACGTCGGAATGAATTATCTTGAAATTTTGAGACACTGATATTGTTGTCGACGATTCTGTTTAATCGCATCGATTCCTTGTCGGATAATTCCGATTGCACCTTGTCGAATACCTTCCGGCTTCGAACTTTATCGTAATAACTTTTTGTTGCTTTTTAATCTAAAAGCGATCGCCGATGAACACCGCGGCCGATGATTGTCACTCGAGGCAGATTGAAGCGACGCCCGCATTTAGTGCCACGAGGATGATTAAAACGCGCGTTTCATCCGCTAAAAAGCTTCACACATATCGCCGTATAATTAACGCATTCCCATTGCGACCGAGCGCTCGAAAAAAATATTCGTCGCATATTTCTTCACGTCTGATTCGAAATCCTCGTTTCGCTCTTAAAGTTACGGGGTCCAAATCGATGATCCCTGAACCCTAAACGACAGGGTCATTTTCACCCCTTGATAGCAGACGATCGCAGCGAGACTGGGACCTCGGAGAATGTTATAGAATATCCTGTTTCGGGGACCTCGTTCCCCTTTGATTAATAAACAGTCACGGCGAACGGATTCCGTTTGTTTTAATGAAAAAAAAGAAAGGAAAAGGAGTGGTTTTCGATGAAGCTAATGCCGGCCAGATACCGCCTGACGGCGCTACGAATCCTCTTCTAATAAGCATCTACGGTTATAACGCTGCCCGTCGTGTTTGTTTCGCATGGCGGCTTTATCGAGCAATCCGGGGAGCTCTTATCCGATGATTTGTCTTGTGCCAGGGTCGCGACTGCTTCCTACGAGTCGTCGATAAAAATCGTACGAGCGTAAGAGGGCTGCAATTTCGACGGGGAAGATAAACGGGTCAGATAATATGGCGTGTATGCGGAAACGAGGGTGGATATCGAAATAAGGATGAAGCATCCACGTTATCTCGACACCTACGCCACGTTTCCCCAGGTGAGCGAGTTCTGTTTAACAAACGAACGCGTCTGTCCCTCGTCTCCGCTTCCCTTTGAACACCTCTCGCGATCGTCCGAGATCTTTCACGCTTTCACTGCCGTATTACGGGTTATGTTTCCTCGTATGTGGATGATGCGATCCTTCCGTCGAACGTGATCAATTTTTATTACCATTTATTCTTCTTCGTCGAATACCATCCTTAGGTCAGCAAAGAGTGTCAACGGTTCGTCGAAAATTAAGAGTGTACTGACTGACTGAATTTATCTTGAATCATCTTTCTTAATATCACAATTTTTTGAAATAAGTTTTCGAAAGATTACTTGCCGCTTCTGGTGGCAATTTCTTGCTCAGAAAATACAATAATATTCAGTGAACCAAGATTTGTAAGAATTTAGAATGTGTGCTACAGGATTACGATAAAAACTGCTGCAATGAATCTCGTATATTTCTGTTTTTAAAGTTCGAATGAGTTACTCTAAAATGAAAGTTATTAATCGAGATACATCAAAAGTTCGATCGAAACATCGAATCTACGTATACAAATGTAGAATTAAGAATGAAGAGAGAGGCTATAGCTCTACAATCTCTAAAACGATTAAGCCGATTCATAGAACTTAATTCAAATGCGCCAAAAGTTGAATTAAAACGTCGAATGTGTAAGGATTGAGAATCAATAACGATGAATAATGAAACAACAGTTCTATGATCTCCGAAATAGCGAAGTTGCTTTTAAATTACAAAATTCGATACACCAAAAACTGGACCAAATGATCGAATTCGTACAAACGAATATCGTGAAGTGATTACGGAGTTATTAACCCAGAATGCCCGAAAAAACTGTTTGCCGCT